GTTCGTCCACTTCGGTCGTTATGTGCGTCATTAGTGCCAGATTCTTGACTAGACCGCAGGCTTCACCTTCGGGTGTATCGGAGGGACACAGCATGCCCCATTGACTGGGYTGCAGTGAGCGGGGACCGGACACCTTGCGCGTCTTCTCAAACTGTGAGTTAACGCGCGTCATCATGCCCAGCGCCGAGATGTAGCTGAGTCGCGATAGCACCTGAGTAACGCCAGCGCGTTCCATTTTAAAACGTTTAATTGTCCAATTCCCAGAGCTGATGGCAGAYTCGAGGCCAGCGGTAATCTGGGCCGCTCTCATGTGCTTCACCACATCGAACTGTGCCGCCTTCACCTTGGGTATATTCTTGTCCGCTATCATCTTCAGTTCCCAGTTCATGCGCTTGAACAGATCCTCGAACATCAGCGAAATCAGCGATCCAGCCAACTCCAATCGCTTGTTGCCATAATAGTCACGATCATCGAATAGCGTCTTGTCCAGCTCTGCGGCCATCACGCGTCGCACCATTAACGATACGTAGATCGCCTTCATTTGAAAGTTGAAATTGTCAACGGGCACATGGGCCAGAATTGTGGTCAACAGCAGCTCGCGTGCCTCCTCCGAGGGGGTTTTAGTCGTGGCACTCTGAAAACGCTTCACCACCAAYTTGGAGCCTGTGAGGAGGAAATTMTTTGCATWAGCATATTAAGTACCCACRWGTCGAGACTYACCCATATAGTCCAGGGCGCGCTGCTGTGTGAAGATCTTCAGATTGAAGGCCTCCAAAAGAGAGGCACCAAATCGATTCTGAGAACGTGCGTCCAAACCAATGTGAGCCATTATCTCCTGATCGGACACGACGCCCAGAGCCTTAAATATGACGACAATAGGTATGTCGTCCGTCATTGAGTTGTGCTTCAGGTAGTATTTGCCATGCTTGCTCAGCACCAACGTGCGCGATTTCTTCTCATGCGTCGACGAGGTGACCTGGCACTGGACGACACCATTAAAGTCCTCAGTCAGCATTTTATTCCAAGAGAGCTGCTCCTGTATGAGAATGACCTTCTCCTGGCCACGCACCACGAAATAACCGCCCGGATCAAGCGGGCATTCGTTCAGCTTGGAGAGCTCAAACTCGGATTTACCAGTGAGCACACAATTCGAGCATCTGAGCATTAAAGGCATGCGTCCAATGAGCAAATTGTTGCGCTTAATACGCTGGGTGCCACGTGTGTACTCAATGTCCACACTGATGGGCGCCGAGTAGGTGGTGTCTCGCAGCCGGCACTCGTGCGGCGTGGTCGCCTTGGTTATGTTAAAGCCATCGTCAATGTCCGGCTTGCCCACGCGTACGTCCAAATACTTCAAGTAGAAGAGCGGATCTGCGCCACTGGTTACAATTTCGTTGGCACGCACAATTTTCTTGATATCGACATTGATRAAGTGATTGAAGGAATCAATGTGCTGCTTGACAAGGCCTTTGACTTGCAAGAATGCCGGCACCAGTTTCCATTTCTCTTGCAATGGCTTGATGGGCTTGGACCATTCCTTATTGTCGCCTTGCGTCCAAGTGTCATCCTCCATAGACGCATCGTCCTTTTTTGCCTCACCCATT